CCCAGAGCTGCCAGCAACTCCAGCCCAAACAAAAACAGCTTAGTCTGGGTCCTTGCAATGGCCTCTCAGCTGGGCTCACCTCCTCCCCTCGCGGTCATGGTCTCCATACAGAAATCAGAAGGATTTTTTCTTAGAAGCATCCACTAGATCCCTGCTTACAGCTGAAATCCTTTACTGATTTCCTGTTCTACATGGACTGAGAGCCACACTGCCCTGTGGGCTTCAGGGTCCTGTGTGGCCAGGCTCCTGCCTGCCTTTCTGACTCCGTCTGAAATATCCCTCCCCCACTTTTTTTTTTATTTGAGATGGAATCTTGCTCTGTCCCCCAGGCTGGAGTGCAGTGGTGCCATCTCGGCTCACTGCAACCTTCGCCTCCCAGTTCAAGCGATTCTTCTGCCTCAGCACCATGCCTGTAGCTGGGACTGCAGACACAGTGCCACCACAACCAGCTAATTCTTGTATCTTTAGTAGAGACGGGGTGTCACCACAGTGGCCAGGTTGGCCTCGAACTCCTCACCTTGTGGTCTGCCTGCCTCGGCCTCGCAAAGTGCTGGAATGACAGATGTGAGCCACCGTGCCGGCCTTTTCTGGTTTTTTTTTTTGGTCACCTGGGCTACAGTACAGTGGTGCGATTTCAGCTCACTGCAGCTTCCACCTCCTGAATTCAAGCAATTCTCCTGCTTCAGCCTCCTGAGTAGCTAGGATTACAGGTGTGCACCACCACACCTGGCTAATTTTTGTATTTTTAGTAGAGACAGGGTTTTGCCATGTTGGCCAGGCTGCTTTCGAACCTCTGTCCTCAGATGATCCGTCCTCCTCAGCCTCCCAAAGTGCTGGGGTTACAGGAGTGAGCCGCCACGCCTGGCCCCTCCTACCCCTTGCTCACTCTGCTGCAGCATTTTCTCCATGCCTCCAGCCCCAGCCCTTTCCCAGGCTGCTCCCTCTGTCTGGAATACTCTTCCCCAGTCCTCTGCATGGCTGCCCTAAGCTCCCCATTCAAGCCTCTGCTTAAATGTCACTTCCTCTGAGACACCCTCCTTGGCCACCCAGGCTGAGGTGCCTCCCACTCCAAGGACTCTCCACCACTTGCCCTATTTTGTTTTCTTCATGGAAGTGTTTACCGCCTGAAATTTCATGTTAGTTTCTGTGCCAATTGTCTGGCTCTCTCCACCAGAACCCAAACCCTTTGAGAGCAGGACATCTGTCCATCTATTCCAGTGTCCCACTCCCCAACGCCCTGGAACAGTGTCTGGCATGTGAAAAGCCTTCGATAAACATTCCTTGGCTGATTGAATGAATAAACAATAAGTGAATGAATGATGACCCTGACCTATGCTCTCCTAGATAAAGTTCTGCACTCTGGTCCTGTCCTAACTCATTCCTGTATCCCACACTCTTGACCTTTACACCAGCCAGCTCAACATCCCCGGGCACCTCTCACTCAGTGCTCATTTATTCATTTAATAAGCACGTATTGAACACCTACTGTGTGTCAGGTACTGGGCTTGGCTCTGGGGATTCAGGGTAGAGCCAAACAGATCTGGTCTGTGGACTAGCATACAGTCTAGTGGGCCTACGTAGTGAGTCTCAGGTGTGCATTCATGCATGCATTCATTCATTCATTGAAGAAACTTCTGTGGAGCTTATTTTGTACCCAGTGCTCTTCTAAGTGCTTTATAAATATAAGCCACTGAAGCCTCATACCAATTTATGAGGTGGGAATTATTATGATCCCCATATTACAGGTGAGGAAACTGAGGCACAGAAAGTCAACCTACCCAAGGTCACAAAGCTGGCAAGTGACTGTATTAGTCAGTTCTCACATTGCTGTAAATAACTACCTGAGGCTGGGTAACTTGTAAAGAAAAGAGGGTTAATTGGGTCATGGTTCTGCAGGCTGTACAGGAAGCATGGCTGGGGAAGCTTCAGCAAACTTACAATCATGGCAGAAGGTTAGGGAAAGCAGGCATGTCTTACGTGGCTGGAGAAGAAGGACGTGAGTGAAGCCGGAGGTGCTGCACACTTTTAAACAACCAGATCTCTCGTGAGAACTCACTCGCTATCACGAGAACAGTGAGAGGGAAATCTGCCCCCATGATCCGGTCACCTCCCACCAGGCCCCTCCTCCAACATTGGGGATTAAAATTCGATGAGAGATTTGGGTGGGGACACAGAGCCACACCATATCAGTGACAGAGCTGGAAGCTGGGCTGTCTCTTTCACTTTCCTGGGTCTGCTTTCCTCCGGGCTCACCTTCTGATGCGCTTGACATTATCTCTTAATTCTCAGCACCCCCTGGACTCCGCATCCTTGGACTTAACAGAATTCCGCTTCATCATTTTGGACTAGCAGAGGGCAGGGCTAGGCGTCATGATAGCTCTTCCTGCTCTAAGTTCTGGGGAGCACCACACCCAGCCCAGCTCTGGCCTCCTGGCCAACATCCCCCCATTTCCAGTGTTCTCCAGGGTTCCCTTGAGGCCTGGAGGAAACATACCCACCTGACCACACGGGTTTGGAATTTCATTTGTGGTGTCAAGAGTTAGGAGAGTCCAGAAATCACAAGGAGAGATTTACAGCTGTGAATTTCCTGGTTTGAGTCCAAGCCAGGAAGTAATCGCAGCAGCAGCAGCAAAGTCTCATTCATTTAGTCTCCCTGAATTCAGGAGGTGCAGTAACGCACCAAAAAGTCACTTTTTAGTTCGGATGGGTTAGAAACGATTCCTTCTGATGTGGATTTGTAGGACAGATGCTGTGGATGGACCTTGCTTTGCAGAATGAACATACTTCTAAAAACATAGGCAAGGGTCAGATTTTTGAAGCAGAATCTTTAAAATGCAATCAGAGAGTTCCACTAAGGTATCTTTGAGTGTACTGTAATTTTTATTCATTGCATTTCCTTAAAGCATGGTCTTTCATACTTGGGGATAAATATAATTAATTTAGGAATCAATGCTTTTTTAAACTAATAATTCAGAAAATTAATTATTTTGCCAACAGGCTAAGTCCAGCTTCTGGGTGGGAGATTTTGTATTAAAATATTGTTATGCTCCTACTGTCCTGGCATAAGGAGTGGTCCTTCTCATGAATATTTCATCCCTCAGAAAAGGAATTGGCAGAAGACTAAGACAGGGCCAACACCCTTCTGAGTGGGTACAGCTTCCAGGCAGGGTAACAATTCCAGAGAGACTCAGCAATGGGCAGTAATAAAGAAGAGAGACTTGTTCCTCCAGAAAACAGACTGTACTGTAAAGTTACAGTGAATGAAACAGTGTGGCACTGATGCAGGAACACACAGAAAGATCGGTGGGACAGAATGACAAGTTAGGAAGTGCACCCATGTATTTGTGGGACTTGGAATATGATATAAAGATGTCCTTTAAAATCAGTAGGAAAAATACAAAAATTGGATGGGTGTGGTAGTCTCAGCTACTCAGGAGGCTGAGGTGGAAGGATCATCTGAGCCCGGGAGGTGAAGCTTGCAGTGAGCCCAGATGGAGCCACTGCACTCCAGTGTGGTGACAGAGTGAGACTCTGTCTCCAAAAATAAAAGTTTCTTAATTTTTTTAAAAAAAGATGTAATCCATGCAACAGACAGGATTAATATTCAGAATATACAAAGAATTCCTACCAATTGCTAAGGAAAAAGATTTATAAAAACAAAAAGAAAATTGACAGAGGATACAGACCTTCAAAGAAGAAGAAATATAAGTGGTTAATAAATGTGAAAAATGCTCAAACACACTAGTACAAAGAGAAATATAACAGGCTTTTGGGGCCCCCATTCTCCCATTCATAGGCGGGCAGCTCTCTCTGCTCTGTCTTAAAAGAGTGGAGGGTCTACAAAACACTGAGAAAATAAAGGTCCTCCCACCCCAGCCACAGCCCACTTCTTACTAGATGGGGGGAAATGCTTTAAATTTAAACAATTTAGCCTCTAATCCCAGCACTTAGGAAGGCTGAGGTGGGAGGATTGCTTGATCCCAGGAGTTTGAGACCAGCCTGAGCAACATAGCAAGACCCCCATTTCTACAAAAACGACAATACAAAAATTAGCCTGGTATAGTGGTGTGTACCTGTAGTCCCAGCTACTTGGGAGGCTGAGGTGGGAGGATCACTTTAGCCCAGGAGGTTGAGGCTGCAGTGAGCTATGATCATGCCACTGTCTTCCAGCCTGGGTAACAGGCTAAAAACAGAAAAATCCATGAAGTTGATTTCATGACCCACTAAGACTTGTGGGCTAAATCTGGCCCAATGCCTGTTTCTGTAAATAAAGTTTTATTGGAACACAGCCATGCCCATTTATTTCCATATTGTCTGCGGCTCCTTTGGTGCTACAACAGCAGAGTTGAGTCATTCTAACAGAGACAATATGGCCCACAGAACCTGAAATATTGACTTCTCTGGCCCTTTACAGAGAGGTCGCTGATCCGTACGCAGATCTGACTCTACCTCCCCTTTGCTTAAATTTTTTTCAGGGTTCCCCTTTGCCCTCTGGCCCAAATTCAAGCCCCTTGGCCTAGCTTAGAAAACCACCAACCTCATGCCTGTAATCCCAGCACTTTGGGAAGCCAAGGCAGGCGGGTCACTTGAGCCCAGGAGTTTAAGAGACCAGCCTGGGCAATATAATGAGACCCCATCCCTACAAAAAGTTTTTAAAATTAGCCAGGCATTGTGGTGCACGCCTGTAGTCCCAGCTACTTAGGCAGCTGAGGTGGGAGGATTACTTGAACCCAAGAGTTAGAGGCTGCGGTGAGCTATGATCGTGCCACTGCACTTCAGCCTGGCAACAGAGCAAGACCCTGTCTTTAAAAAAAAGAAAGAAAGAAAAGAGAACTACCCTGCTGTGGCCTCCCAAGCTCTGTTCCTGCTGACCACCCTTACCCAGGGGTCCCTGTTCTCCACAGTGATCACAGGCGGGCAGGCAGCAGAGAGGCCGTGGGGGTGTGGAGTCAAAACCCTTCCTCTCTTCCTGATGCTTTGCTCTGCCCCCTGCCCTGCAGGCCTCCTGGGAATGGTCGCCCACATGATGTACACACAGGTGTTCCAGGTCACCGTGAGCCTCGGCCCTGAAGACTGGAGACCCCATTCCTGGGACTACGGGTGGTCCTTCTGGTAAGTGGCTTTGACCATCAGTGCAAGAACAGCTTTAAGCATCAGAGCCGCAAGGCCTGCTGGGACTTCAGCAGTTCAGTCCAGTGGGTATTGGGGGAAGACATGGGGGAAGTTGGAGGGGCTGCAGTCCAAAGGTGCTTTGAGACCCTAGGGCAGCGATTGGCAAACTAGGGCCTGTGGGTCAAATCTGGCCCACCACCTGTTTTTATGCAGCCCTAAAGCTTTTCGATTTTTAAATGCTAAGAAAACAAATCAAAGGAAGAGGAATGCCGTTTTGTGACATGTGAAAACTACATGAAATTCAAATTTCAATGTCCATAAATAAGGTTTTCTTGGAACACGGCTACACTCTCGTTGTGTATTATCCACGGCTGCTTTAACACTGAGATGGCAGCACTGGGCGGTGGTGACAGAGACTGAATGGCTCACAAAGTCGAAAATACTTATTCTCTGGCCCTCTGCCAACCCCTGCCTAAGAGGCATGCTCTGGAAGGTTGGAGATGGAAGCTGGGAAGACCTGAAATTAGGGGAGCTGTGGAGGGCTCTGGGTGGCCCGATGGGGTAGGAGGACTCCAGTGAGTGGCTCCAAGCACAGGGAACAGGTCAGCATCTCAAAGCAGGGTGTGCTTACGAAAGGCACGATTAGTCAGGGTTCTTTTGCTTATGAGTGATAGAATCCCAAGCTTAAGTGAACAAGGGGTGTTCATTTGTTTGTATGGGAAATCCAGGTGGATCAGCCGGGGTGCTCTGTGTTGTAACAGAAAAACCTACGTGCATCAGTCTAAGCAAGGAGATATACAGTGGTTCACGGAAGGGAAAGCACAGCTATGGTGTGGACTTCAGGACATGTTTGATCCAGAGTCACTGAGGTCATTAGGGCTGAGTTCTCTTCCTCTGTGTAGTCATCTGAGCCTGGCACTCTCCACATATTTACTTTGATGCTGGGCTGGTTTCCCTGTTGGGGAGAGCTCTTCCTAAGGCTGGTGCATCCTCCTTCCCTTGTAAGAAAAAAGGAGCTTCTTCTCTAACATCAGTTAGGGTCCCAAGCTTCCCTCTGGTGGACTTAGGTCATGTTCTCTCTCCTTAATCATTGCCACAGCTGGGGGAATATCACTTATCCCCTTAGCTTGACCAGGCCCATCTCTGGAGCAAAGGATGAGTCAAAACCTCTCAAATGGTGAATGGATGGAATAAATGCTGAGTGAGCTACCACAAAGTCTGCTTCAGGTACAGCTGGATCCAGGTGACCAGGTGATTTCATCTGGAACTCAGTCATGCTCTCTCCTTATCTTGTCTCTCTTCCCTTTGAATTGGTGTAGGCTTCATCCTCAAACAGCTTTTCCCCAAATGCTAGCAAAGATAGATGATCACAACACACAGCATCAGGCTTCTTTTTCTTTCTTTTTTTTTTTTTTTTTTTTGACAGAGTCTGTGCTCTGTCACCCAGGCTGGAATGACAGACTTCCATCTTAAAAATGTAGCAATACCAGCAGAAAGATGGGATTTCTTTCCCATCTTCCCAATTAAAATCCTGGCTATGACTTTCATTGGCTTAAGTCATGTGATCAAGCCTGAACCATTGATTTAGACCCTGGGGGAGATTGAAATGACCCGAGTCACATGGTCCAGGGAGTGGCATTAGCCCCGCCCAAATTCTTGGACAGAAAGAGGAGGAGAAGGCTATGCAGGCTGGAAAGACAGCAGCCACAGTTGTTCACTACACAGGGTATCCAGATCTGGGGCTGGTAGTTGGGGAGCATTTATCCGCTCGGTCATTTAACACATATTCACTGAGTACTTCCTCCAGGACAGCTGTTCTAGGTGCTGGGATGCAGCAGTGCTGAGACAGCATTGCAACAGGGATGGAGACAAGTGAACCGGCTGTATGTGAACCGTGCTGAGATGTAGGTGTGTGGGGGGAGGGAGTTCACAGGCAGCTGCAGAAGCACAGAGGAAGGGCCATTGATTGACCCAACTTTGGGTGGGGCTGGTCCTCAGGAAGAATTTTAAAGGCAAAACAGGAGGAATAGGGTGCTAGGCAGAGGGAACAGCAGGCCCAAGGACCTGGAGGTGAGAGAGCATCTCAGAATAGAACAGGAGGGACTATGGTTATAATTTTTTAAAAGACTCGATTCCAGTCCAGTGGGCACCCCAGCTCCATCTCCACTCTGCTCGACTCTGTTCTTTTAAAACTGAAAGTATTTGCCTTAAAGGGACCTTGGCCCATTAACCCTGGCCCCAATCCCTTTAAGTAGAACAATCCCAGGGAAGCCAGCTGAGGTTCTGACCTCCCTTTACCCAACCCTTCCCCCTGGAGCAGTTCCTTCTTGAGACCTTGACCTTGGAAGATCATCTCCCTGAGCTAGAGAAGGGCACAAGGGAGGGGAACTAACATTTGTGAGTGTTGACCATGTGTGTAATAATCTCTCAGATTTACTGCGTGCTGATGTGCCGTGAATCAGGTAGGTATTTCATGGAGACACAGAGAACTGAAGTAACCTGCCCAAGGTCATCCAGCTATAAGGGGCAGGGCTGGGATTCAAACCCAGGCATCCGGGCTCCAGAGCCATACTGGAAGCCTCTCTGAGATGAATAATAATAAGAGAGTTCATGGATGTGCTTACCACGATATTCCGCACATGGGGTGTGCTCAGTAAATACCGGCTCTTATGTTGCTGCTACTGATATGAAATTTAACACATGCAGCATCACGCTATTGATATGAAATTTAACGTGCAATATCAAGCTACTGATGTGAAATTTAACACGTGAAACATCATGCTACTGATACGAAATTTAACACATGCAATATCATGCTATCGATATGAAATTTAACACATGCAATATCAAGCTACTTATGTGAAATTTAACACGTGTAGTATCAAGCTACTGACATGAAATTTAACACGAGCAATATGCTACTGATATGAAATTTATCACATGCAGTAACCTCATGTTGCATATGCAGACACTGAAAATTAGAAAAGTTGAATCAGATGCCCTGGTGGGAACTGCCTCCTCCCGCCAGGCCACCTTTCCAGAAGGCCCTGGCTCTCTCCTCTGGTGTTCATTGTCTTAAGTCAAGCCTGCTGGTGTCAGCCAGGGGAACATTCTTTCCTTGGAAACCAGAGCCTTCTGCCCTGCTCCTCTGCTCCCTCCCTCAGGGCCAGCCTCCCAAGGGGCACCGAATTCCCATTGGACTTATTAAAGGCTGGGACCAGTGTGCAGCCCCTATTAGGGCTGATCCATTTTTCCCTGTCACTGAGACCTGCAAGATGGATCAGCCCCATTTTTCATCCTTCACATTTGGGGCCTCGCCAGGGCTGCACCATGTCATCTCTCTTATTTAATATGTGTGAGGCCATTTGTCAAAATTCTGGCCTGAGAGCCCCCACTGCGCCCTCCCCAGGTAATGGAGAGGAGAACAGCTCCTAGAAGAGATGGGACTGGCCTCTGTCTTCCTGCCTAGCAAGGAAGAACAGGCTGCAGGGGCTCTGGAAGCTGGAGGAGTTTTGTGGAGCTCAAAGCCTGCTGAGTGTCAGCTTCTTAGAGGGACATCTTTGCAAGAAGTGGAAAGTCCTCATGGTTAAGAGTCTCACAGCCCGGGGTTCAAATCTCACCCCAACACACACTCCTGGGCCACCATGGCAGTGCGGAGGGGCGGTTGAGGATGTGGCTGTGGAATCAGTTCAGGTTTAGATCCTGCCCCTGCCCCTCACCAGCCATGGACCTTGACCAAGCTACTTACTTCCTCTGTACCTCTGTATCCTCAGCTGGAAAATGGGACAGCCTAAATTTCCACCTCATAGGGTTCTCTCGAATTGTGTTCCAGTTCTCTGTTGAGGTGTACACATCACCCCCAAATCTAGTAAAAATGTATTATTATGTAGTAATAACAGTAACTAATAAAAATATGTTCTTATTTGTTCTTGTATTTGGAGTGGACCAGGCTCAGCTGGGCGGTGCTTGCTGGGGTCTTCCCCAAAGCTTCAGCTGGACGTCAGCTGGGGCTGTCGTCTGGGGCATGGCTGGGGTGGACCTCCAAGGTGGCCCTTCACGACTCTGGCAGCTGGTGCTAGCTGGCCTGGCTGGCGGCTGGAGGGGCTTCATGCAGCATGGAGGCTGGGTCCCTGGGGAGGTTATCTCAAAACTGAGTGTTCCAGGAGACCCAGATGGAAGCCACAGGGTCTGTATGAGCCAGCCTTGGAAGTCACACGGTGTCACTCCTGCTGCATTCTGTTAGTTAAGAGCAAGTGACAGGGCCGGTTGCAAGGGGGGGTGTGGACCGCGGGAGGTATGACTCCCTGGAGGCCGGCTTTGGAGCTGAGTAACCAACATGAAGAGCAAGTGAATCAATGCGTATGGAGCACTCAGCACAGAGTGTGCTTGGTGAGTGTGAGCCCTCCTGCCCACTCCTCCTTTTGGCACCGAGTGTCAGCAATCTCTGCCTGTAATGAGGTCAGGACAGGACCCTGGTGGGCATCCAAGCGGCTGTTTGGCTTAAGGAGGCAGGAACCAGGTGGGATAAGATTAAGATCGGGGCCCAGGCAAAGTGGTTTATCTGTAATCCAAGTACCTTGGGAGGCCAAGATGGGAGAGGCCAGGAGTTCAAGACCAGTCTGGGCAACGTAGCCAGACCCTATCTCTAAAAGAAAAGAAAAGATTAGCTGGGTGTGGTGGTGCACATCGGTAGTCTCAGCTACTCAGGAAGCTAAAATGGGAGAGTCACCCGAGCCCTGGAGGCTGATGCTGCAGTGAACCGTGTTCATGCCACTGCACTCCAGCCTGGGCTGGAGACTCTGTCTCAAAAAAAAAAAAAAAAAAAAAAGACTAAGGTTACAACACCTACTTTGTGCTGTGCACAGTGAGAAGCACTTTACAAGCCCTGAGCTGTCTGCTCCTGTCACTGGTTTCCAGGAGAGGAGCTGCCATCCCTGCTTTAGGGACCAGGAAACAGGTTGAAAGTCACACAATTAGCCTTGGATGCTGTCAACTGCATG